TTGAGAACCAAACCTAACCCACTTGCTGCTTTTGACTTTAACAAAGGGTCAAGTCATCCTTTGTTAATTGAGCCTAGATTCTGTAGCAAGCTTCCCACTTGCACAGCTCTTGGCTCGAGGTGCCACCTGGCACGCCTAGTCATCACGTTGACTTTTCCTTAGCTTTTGACTTATCTTTCAGCTTTTGAGTAACACACGAACACTTCACAGCTCCTGTTTCTTCAGCAGATTCTTCTGCACTTACACCTTCTAGGTATCATTGAAATATTTCTTGAAGATGCATAGACGATTGTTAAGAACACGCATGCCTAAATCATTGGCGGATCTAGACACGATATCCACGAACTGACTGAATAGCTTTGAAACGTCTCTATGTAAAGGTCAGAGCTAGTACTACTGTAGCATCATGTTCAATCTTCACCTCCTTTTCGTTAATTGTAGGGGGCGAATCAATATATCACATCCAAGTGTATTAGAGAATGGCCATAGTGAACTCGACAATGATCAGGCGGATCTAAGTTTCTCCAAGTATTAGAGTCAAGAGCAAAAATTTTGCACTTAGTAGATTTATTCACCTTTGTCATCACACTCGAAAAACCACATACGTTTGTCTCACACTCTTCTCTCTCTCGATCCCTAGCAATATGAAGTTTCTATGCCAACATGATGCTACGGTAGTACTATATAGCTTTTGACCTTCAATATTCTCTCTTCCGATCCCTAGCAATATATATCAGGAATCAAACTAGGATCATCCTATATATGAAAAAAAAATATTTAGAGAGCATGTTAGGAAGCGCCACTAACCCAAAACTTACTTGGTGAAAAATGGAGAATGGTAGGAAGCATCACTAGCGCAAAACTTACTAGCACAAGTAGTTAAGTACCGATATACCCTATATTTTATCACTTTTACTATCTATTTTACTATGTTTTTATATACTTTAATAAAACCTTTCGACCAAAAGAGGTAGTTTTCTCGTATATATGGATTTTAAGATCTTACTAGGTTTAATCATCAAAAAGATGTAAAAATGAGCAAAAAGAGTGTTATCTATGATACAGCTACTTATTCAAGTCAAAGGAGCCATTACATCTTGAAGATAAAGCAAATTCTCAAGTTGGACATAACATATACGCTATAAGTTCACTGATGAACAGAGGATCAAATCAACTTGGAACATAATGAAACTTTGTGGGAGAATAGCCCTTTGAGTTAGCTTGCAAATGAAGTTAGAATCAAACCATTTGGAGCTGTACTTTAGAAGGTACATTAGAAACACTGAAGACATGTCAAATTGCCTTAGAAGTGAAGCATGTGCAGAAATGAGCTAAGCACCGGGCCGCTCTGTGGGCCGATGATCCAGGCCATTTTCGACCTTCTAGAAGCATCATGGAAGCCTCAAATATCGGTCACGCAAGCCGACCGATATTGTGATCGATGTTACCTCAGTTTCGACGTAAAAGACTCTTTTGCCCGAAGATAACCCTAGCCGACTTAGGACCTCTTAAACCCCTATATATACTTGCTTTTAGCCTATCTAGGAAGAAGAGCAGCCGGCCATAACAGCCAAAATCAATACCTAAACATGTATTTCGTTTATCTTAATGCATCTTTGATTCTAAAAGCCTTTAAGGGTAGTTCGACTTTGCAAAACTTTTCCCTATTGCAAAGAGATGAMATCTAATCCCTTATGCTTAGTAGATCAACGATTTATACTTTGTTTATTTGCTTTACTCTTGCTGCTCCTTGTTGCAAAACATTTAGAGTATTAGCCTTGATTTAATTTCTATGCACTTTTTTATTTATATGTTATCACATAATTGAACGTTTAATGTTTTATTCTAGAATTGATTCTTCATCTCTATTTACGCTCAAAGCATGATCTGGCTTAGCTACCCAGTGACTGATATTAGGTTGATATATTCTCCAAGAGCTTGTTATATCTCCGGACCTAGTATTTGATGAGCTAAGCGTCTTAACAATTTGATAGGTTAGTTAAGGAGTTTAGTGAACAATCAAATCTTACACTTTACGCGTGTCTTCACCTTATAATAACCATACGATAGTTGAGTCTATTAGAGAAGAAGACATAGAAGTTTGATCCACGACAGTGGTATGATTTTATCTTAGTGATTTGAGTTCTAGAACAACTAGCATTAAAAACCCTTAATCGTTTGCTTGTGTCTTGCATATGTCTTGAGAATTGCTTGATCTTTTATCTTGATTGAACTATCTATCTTTACTTTATTGCTTTGTTATTTGCTTCCATAAACCCTAAAAAACCAAATACTATATTCATCTAGCTTAATTCGCATCATATAGATTTGTAGCGCATCATCACTTAGTCCTCAGTGGATCGACCCCTAAGTACTATAATTATCAACTGTGCACTTGCATATGCATCTAAACCCACACACATCAGTACCGTTAAGGATTGTAGAGGTGGGATAAGGAAGAGTGCGGCAACAAGTGGAGGCATGATTAAAAAAACTAATGCGAGTAAGGTTGAAGAGACAATACCATGACTCATAGAGTCTGAAATCTTTAAACCCATGAAAAATAAATGTAATGGGTTGATGGAAAATTTTGATTGATTTGTAGAAGAAAGCAACGTAGTGCCAAAGCGAGACAGTGCTCAGATCTAGTTGTTTCTATTGATAATGCAAGGATTGTTCAGTGTCCTCTTCTAGGTTTCTAAAAGCCAATGTGTTTTGTTAATAAAAG